AAAATCTGTAAGAAATAAATATTCTGTAATAAATAAACAATTTTCTAAACGTATATAAACAGGACAATTAATATAATAATCTATAAATTCAATTAATTCATTTGTTTTATATCGATCTGTCGTAGTTGAATTTGTTAATAAAAGTTCATATGGACAATTTAATTTTACATTATCAATTGTTTTTAATAAACGATTATCATTTGATATATATTCATAATAGTTAAGATCTAAAGTTGGAATATATATATATTTAGGTGATGAATACTGATGAAAGAAACGAAAATAAGATTGATGAGAATATGTGTATGGTAATGCGATGCCAACAATTTGTGATGTTGATGTATGAAATAGTGGTTCTGTTTTAATACCACGAAGAAATAAAGATATTTCTGATGGCCATTTATAAAATGGAAATGATACAAAACAAATAAGTACATCAAGTTTTGGCCATAAATAATGAGCCAAACCTAATATATTAAATAAATAATTAAACTATTTTATTTAAGAATAGCTAACCATCTATAGGCATATTATTTTGTAAAATTTGTTGTAATTTATTAATACGATATGTATTTTTTTGTTTAATAATAATAGTTGAATTAATTTGAACACCATTTTCAATGTCATCTATTAAACTTTGAAGATCATTTATAATTAATAAACAAATTTTTATAAATAAACATGGATTACATACAATAATATTTGTTAATGAAGAATTTTCAAGTAAAATTAATGTTTGTAATCGAATAGAAAATGATGAATCGGAATAAATATCGATTAAATAATCTTGTTGATTTATAGATTCAAGATATTTTAAAAATATATCTTGTACAAGTTTTGGTGTAAATGAATGTAAACATTTATGTTCATTATTGTCTTTATTATAACATTCAGCTATTTGTCTATAATTTCCAACTGGTATTATTTTACCATATAATAATGATGGATATTTTGTATACATTGAAAGCATAGCACACTCATAAATTGTTTGCATTTTTATATGTGTAATAAAAGTTGAATTTTTCGAATTACTAATGGATAAAACAGTTTTCTGTATTAAAATTGGATTAACAGCTAATAATAAACGTCGTATTTCAATAATTTTATCCATAAGTGTTACAATTAATTCTGTTAATGCATATTTAATAAAATTTATTAAGGAAAATGAAGTTACTATTGTTTTTGTTGTATATTTTTCTTTTTTTCTATAATTATAACATAATTTTTCAAATAGAGAATATCGTTGATAAATTTTTAGAAATATAATTGTTCCTACAGCTAATGGTGGAGTAAATAAAACAAGTTTCATCACTGAAATTTTAAATATCATTTTTAAATTTACGTTTTATACTTCGTCGTAATATTGAAAATTTTTTCTTCTTCTTATTCGTATTCTAATGTAAGATATTTATGAATAGAATATTCGACATTGAATGATTTTGTTCAAGGAAAATAATCAAAATATATTATTAATTAATTTTTCTAATATCTTTTACATATTAATTCAACAAAGAGTCTAAAAATAGAATTATTATCAAAATGAACATGAGAAATGATAATTATCACACTCAATATAAAATATTTACTATAGCATAATTCATAATGAAGAGAAAAAAATTGTCGTGGATTTTTTAATAAAGAGATTATCATAAACACATGCATATGAGACAATATGTCATTTGTACACTTAAAAAATTCAAGTATATATTACAGTATTTAAATCTCAAACAGATTAGTTATATTTATGAAGTAAACACTGCTGTCGATATTATTATTCAATACACTTTTATAATAAAAAAAACAAAAAACAATACAAAACAGCAATGAGAAGCTAATGTCCATCGTGGCATCTTTTTTTGTTTTGTTAATTGATTAGAAACTTACTGGTCTTTGTCTTTCTGAATAGCATGCAACATGATCAATTATATATTTATACTTAGAGAAACTAAAACGTTGTTTTTATTAGAAAACTAACGAATTAAATGTGAATATATACTTTGTAACAAAACACTAAATTATTCTCTAAGTCAGTCTGCTGTTGTCGATGAATAATATGTTCAGTTTTTTTTTTTTTTTTATGAAAACCTAGGCCGGGAATTTATTGATATAGGGTTTTTATGCGATG